ACAATATCACACTTGGTGCAAATTGTTGTTTTTTTTACTGCAAAAACGTTATGAATTACCTGCAGAGCAAGAAGAACTGGCTGAACCAGTTTGCATTGCGATATTTCGTTGGCAAAGTGTGAGGGGGGCCAGGATCGGAAATCGGTGGCGCCCTCTGTCTCTGGTGTGCCGCTAGCTTTTTCACACGATCCATAGACTCTTCGGTTGCATTCACAGACTCAAAATCAATAGTCACCAGGTCAACTGGAATAACACACAAATTCCCGTAAAATGAGGACAAGATAAGCACGTAATGTTGTATATAGCAACACGAATATACACAGCACAACTGTGTGGCCATATAGTGAACCCGTGACCACTTAAAGGAATTATTTCACGAATAGCTGCACAATCAAGAAAAATATAGCGAAATATATTCTTACCTAATAGCAAACATGTTACTGATTACTCCAATATAAAAATTACCATGATTTTATGCTGTTATGATATATAAAGCGAATAATGCGGCCAGATTCTTTCGTATAGTGACAATTTTCTTGAAATCGGCAACCGCCAGACAGGAGTGCATCTTATTGAGTGACGTAGTGGTTCTAGACTGGTACAACATCTCTACTGCTAAATTTAAGTTACCATGTCAAAGTACAGCGACAGGGTCTCGCGAGAAACAAGTGGCTTCATCAAGTAACAACGTCAACACGATGTAAACAAACAGATTTCAAGCGCTTTGTAAGGATAAAGATGTACAAGTGTACTAAGACATGTTAGCCAAACTATAGAGACTTGCTGTTATTTAAGCAATACCAGTAAGTACTGTAGTGGTCAGAAAAATACAAGAACGGTCAGGAAGACTGATTGAAACAATTACTCTCAGACAGGGCTTGCAAAAAACCTGTTAAATATAACGCTAAAAGTTTTAACGCTGATCGTTTTATTAACGTACCATAATAATCACAAGGGTTTGTCAGTGGTGGACATGGATAATGACTTGAGGTGAAATAGGGCAACAGGTCCTTGTTGCTTCCATAGTACACTAGCTTGCCGTCAGAGAGTATCGCAACTGAAATTTAGCCAAAGTTAGGCGTTAAATCATAACTCTACTTGATAGCAACTTAATATAATAACTCAATAGAACTCAAAGGCAGCTATCACTCTGACAAGTGATAAAACACCTGTAAATGGTGTGCCACAGTGTATCATATGTAACCAACTAATTAAAGAGTAGAGCACACACAGTAGAAAGCATAGATGCAATTGGTGCATATTTTTGGATTACATGATGCTAGGACAAGTGCAGCATTTCTGCAAACTTTCTTCTCAGTGAAGTTCAATGTTATACATTCATACTAGTAGCATAGACTTGTGAAAAATGAGACTCTCATCGGTGGCCCTGAGATACCTTTGGTAAACTTGCGGAACATTTCGAGGTTCGGATGGTCCATTGTTGCAATTGCAATACGCCCTCTGTCAGCGTACTCTCGAATAAAGTCGGTAACAAACATGGCCCAATATGGCTCCAGTCCAGATGTCGGTTCATCCAATAACATGATATCTGCATGGAATCGGAGAGACAAATATCTCTACATAGGCCCACACGGATGTATAGTATTACATATATAGAACAATATCTTAACATGACACACACACACACACACACACATCTGTGCACATAGGCAGGATACAGAAGAACCTAGGCGAATTTACATTATTCTATTAATAATGTGACAATTGAATCTCACCGAAGTATAAAAGAAAGTATTGGCTTGATGCCAATAGTAAGATCATGTTGGTGATAGACTGACACCATGGCCTTTTTGATGATGCGCTCTTGAAGACGAGAAATTATGCAAGCTGAGTTAATCGTCTACCTGTATCTAGCATCAGTTGGCACACAATGCTAACGAGTTTCTTCTGCTCGGCAGGTATGACTGAGATGTGTCTCTTCCTGTAGAGTTGCAGCTGTGCACCATCAATGTAGTATTCAACCTGTGTAAGGGGTACATGCTAGCTTGTAACTGCAATATAGTCCGCCAGCCATGAGCAGACAGCTGAACCCTATCCACACACACAACTGGCTCATGCAACACACTCGGTTCTGGTGAAAAGTACGTGGGATATTTCTGCGCTTTTTTGGCAAAGGTATGTTGTGTCATTGAGGTAACTCCCACGAAAATGGTAGCGATGCACACAAATTGCACACTCACTCCAATGCGGTTTACTTGCGATACACTATGCCAGAATGAATAGTCATCGACTAACTCTTCCATGCAATTTAAAAATTAAAGTGCATGTGTTTAAAATGAGGAGCAGGAGAAGCCTGTTTTCACCGACACTTCACTACGTGTAGATCAGCTGCTTGGTGTTTTAGGGTGGGGCAGCGAGGCATGCCATTGTCGCAGAGGGGTGGATTGCATGGAACTGCATGAGCTGGGGCAGAGCAGTCTCGGGGCTGGGGCAGGGCAGTGTGG